GTGTGTGTGTTTCTGTGTGTGGGGGGGGGGGGTCCTTTGTAAATCCAGATTAGAATTGGTCTGATAAATGCCGAGCTGGGTGTGTGTAAATGTGGATTGATTAGCATTTGGAGCACAGATTCCCCAGCATGCAGTGCTCCCCTGCTTATCTGATCCCAGAATTCAGTGCAGTTTTTCCTTTGGGCTTTCTGTTCTCCGTCTCCTATGTAAATAAATGGTCATCTGGTTCCATTTTGGATGCAAATGAGACCTAGGGCAGTTGCTCCCTTATCTGGAGGGCTTTAGGTATGTCTCCCACTGCATCTTAATCAGTTTTGTTTGGGGGGGGGGGATTATTTGCGAGTTGGACAGGCTGCGTCCTGTGCCAGGGTTCCCCAAGAACACGGAGCTGAGAGGTAACACCCTGCACCTATCTCCTTGAAACTTGGCAGGCTTCGTTGCCTCAGCAGGGGCTAGCATGCCTGCAGTTTTGACCCCACTGTGGCTTAACACATACACTTGACATGAGTTTTGCTTTCAACACTTTGAGGTGCAGTTTCCATGAAACCCCTGCACCTATCTCTTTGAAACTTGGCAGGCTTTGTACCCTCAGAAGGGGCTATCATTCCTATAAGTTTCATCCAAATCAGGCCAGAAACGACAAAGTTATAGGCTGTTTTGAGCTTCCCCATTATAGCCTATGGACAAAATGTCAAAATATGTTGAAACAGTTTTGACGGAACAGAACAAGAGCGGTTTCAAAACAAAACACTGTTCAGTCAAAACGGAATGGTGCTGTTTTGCACAGCCCTACTAAATACTATTTGCCAAGGGTGCAAAACACTCAGCTCTAAGCACAGACCCTCCAGATTCAGTCTATCCAGTGCAAGAGTTCCGGAAACGAAATGAAACTGCAGAAGCTATTTGATGCAGCCAGAAAGCTGAAAAGGTGCCATGGGTTCTTCATTGATAATAGGAGAAACCAAGGTTTCAAACCATTGAAACCAAGGTCAGGCCCTTGGTTTACATTATAATTTATGTTAACTTATTTTTTGGCTGACATGGTAAATCAAGGTAATACATTTTCTGAAGCCGTTCACCTTTTTCTTTCATATTCTTAAATTTGGTTCAAAAGCAAAATATGCTAGCGCTGCTTATGCAAAACTGCATCATTTTGCTATTTGATGGGACATTTTTAGCCTGTATGAAAACTGACCTTATTTTAACTGATTATGTAAACTTTGCGGAGGATAAAGCAGTCTGAAAACTGATCTAAATTTGGGCCTTAAATGGTCATTTTGGCTTCCCTTTAGTTCCAGTTTACTTAATGCCACCATTTGGTTGTGTTATTACACAGCCTTATAAAAATACAGGAATTCACAGCAGTTTGAATAATTTTAGTACAAAACATTACTGGTCTGCATGGAGGGGGGTAAAAGAAGTGTATAATGAACTGGGCCATGTAATGGAAAAGATTCAGGAATACTTCAGGTGTTTCTAATTCTTTTCTCCTAGCAGTTAATGTAGACATACTAAAAAACAATGGTTTTTAAGTTTAGACTTAATAGATACAGTGGTCAAGGTGCAGGTACATTGTACTCGGGTATTCCTTGCAGTTTGCCTGGGAAGTTATTAAGTCAGATCACAGAGAAAACAAATTTTCAGTTTTGAGTGCCTCCTGCTAATTTCAAGTACCGGCTAAAGTGTAAATACACAGGACACAAACATTGAAGGGCTTTACAGATAAACGCAGTCACTTTCATTTGCCTTGGGAAATAAAATGGCACACGTTTCAGGTGTGCTTGAAGGGCTGCAGGTTTATTTGTACTTGCATGCAATCAACTTTATGGAAGGATTTTGGGAACATAGCTTTCACAGGGGATATTGTAGTTCCTATGGTGTGAAACTTCCTATCTGATAACAACTGTAATCACTTTTACAAACTTACATTTTTATCATAAATATTTTGTTTCTATTTTTGCTATTGCTACAGTTTCCCAAGTACTATTTTTTCTTGTTCGTTCTCGGTATGCTTTTCCTACAGCTGTTTGCCTTTTGACCTCCTCTCAGTATTTAAAATTATTTTACAGTTGTGTTGAAGGTGGTGGTTGAAAAGAAAGCTTTGGAAAGAATTGTTCTCTCTGTATTTTAATATTTCTTCACCTTATGTTCAGCAGCGTTATAGTCTATTCCCATACTAGGTGACTACCACTGAAACTGTAGTTGATGAATGCAAGGGCCTTACATTAAACTCTTATTTTATGTTTTTAGTCTGAAGGAAAAAGCCATACAAGTTCTGGAGATGCAATTTATGAAGTTGTAAGTCTACAGCGGGAGTCTGACAAAGATGAAGAATCGGTCAGCTCAGTGGGTGGAGGGGGTCCGGTATCACCACAGGAGGATGAAGTAGAAGAAGGTAAGAGTCAAATGAGCATGTAAAATTCTCATATCTACTACTATTCTTATAGTATTTCTGCCTTTTATTCCTACATAGGACTCTTCATACTTGTGCTTCCAAGGGATGTTCCTACAACACCAAACCATAAAATACACCCATCATTCTGCACTACCAGCTGTAGTGTGGTAATGTCACTTTTACCATTGTCCTCTCTGACAAGATTTTTTTCCCACATGCACCAGCAAAAAAGATGAGTCCACACAGCCCTGTACATCAAAAACAAATCATCCCTACTTGCCTGCTAAACTAATAAATAGCAAACCTCTGCTAGAGGGTTGGTTTTTTTCCAATTAGAGACTTTTTTTCCCCCCACTCTCTCTAAAAGACCTTTTGTAATAAAGTGATACTGGGAAGCTCTTCACTTTCAGTAGCAGTAACGTTATTAACTAAAGCCCCTTGGTTCATTTCTGTATAACTTAAAAAAAGATTTTTCTTCATTCTGGCAATGTATCCTGAATATATTTAAACAAATATAGTGAGAGGCGTTTCAGTAGCTTGTTTGATAAAACAGGCTTGGATATTACTGTTACCCTATTTGTTATTGAAAGTGACAAGGGATTATTACAGAATTTAATAATGGATGTTTTATTAAAAATACAATTGATATTGTCCTTCTGATAATATTGTAAAACACCTTTATTTAGAAATAGGATAAATAAAACAATAGAAATGCGCATATAGGAAGAAACAAAGTGAGTTAAATTTAATGCTAATTTCCATATTTTAAATGCAGAATACTTGCTAGGGAAAAGATGTCTTTAAAATGTCACTGTGATGTGTTACTGTTCTCATGGAAACAGTATTTAGAGTGCTTTTCTAGAAGTTATCCATCCTGGTTGATGTGCAGGTTAAATGAGTCACTGCCAGTTGTTCTAATTACATTTCTTCCATTCTTATGTTTCTTTTGCAGAGTACTAATTATTAGAATGGAAGAGACAAGGATACACAATCTTAGTTCCTTTTTATCTTTATATGAAAGACCTTGGACTACAGGTTTTTTTAAACTATTGAGCTCTGTGTCAAACATAGCTACCTGGCCTCTCAGATTTTTTTTTCCCACCTGTTCCTGACTAGGGCATTAGGACAGTCCTTTCAAGGATGGATTATCTTGTAGGCCAAAAAATTAGTTGATCCATCAGTAGTAGGTATTTGGTGTTTTTGTCTATTCTTTTGTAATGCATTGTGTTGCACTCCCTATACAGCCTTATAGAATAGTAGCTCATTTTTCTCATCAAGCATCCTATGATGCCAGAAGTCTTTGAAGTATTTGTATAGTGCCATAAAAATATGCTGTGGATACAGTACTTTAACTTGCAGCTTTTGCCTATTTTCCATGTCTTCTGCAACAATCTCAACTTCAGCTAACCAAAAGATCAAGCTTTCCTTTGTTCATTATAATCCAGGTATCTCATCTCATGATTGAGGGGGGGAAAATGACACCAGTAAGAAATACATTTATTAAATTATTTCAGTCCACCTGACAGAGTTTTTTCCAGTAGGACTTTAGTGCTGTTTTACTGGTAGACCATGCATGAATTTCCTCCTGTCATGAATTTAAAATAATTTGCATTTTAATGTGAGGAGCATTTTACAGCTGTAGTAAAAGCAAAAATGTGTAGAAAAAAATTGAGATGATGATGTGTTTTTTGTTTTTGGTTTTTTTTACTATATTGATTTCATCCTGCTTTTTAGTAGTTTCTGCTTGATCACCACGGATCCTGGGTTTTCTCTGTTACCCCCCCAATTCTCTATATAATACACACACAGAGCAGTTGAACACAGTTTTGTTGATATAATTACAATTTTAAAGCAATTTGGAAGCCTACCAGTACCTCAGTCATAATACCTATGTATTTTGGCTTTTTGAGGATGTGGGCCCTGCTGAGGTTGTTCTTCTGCTACTTTGTGGTGCTGAGCAAATGTGATATGCTGGTGCCCTGCCCATGCTGTTGCCCCTCACTCCCAACCTGGGGCAGAGCTGAGTGGAGTGAAGCCAATGGGGTGGGGGCCAGTTAGGGCAGTGGGAGGATGCAGGTTGATTGTTGTGGGGCTCTGAGCTCCCCATCTTGCTGCCCTCCCACCAGGGGCCTCTGTAGTCTAGTGGGTGGGATCCAGCATAGGAAGGCAGAGCAGGGCCAGGAGGTTCGGTGCAGCCATTTCTGGAAGCCCTGCACCACCATGGCAAGGTGTTCCCTGTCCACTTGGCAGCAGTGACGGGGCACAACTCCGTGCTGCTGTCGCTGGGTGGGCAGGGGGTGCATGGCCATAGTGGCTTGGCTGGCATGGGGCTTCCAGTAGTGGTGGCAATGTACCCACCAATGCTCCCCTGACATGTTTTGGGGAGCCAGCTTCCCTACTGGCCCCATGGTTGCCCATTCCTGCCATGGTCATATATTCTTGTCCTGGGTCCCGGCACTGCCCAAGCTGGGCAATGCCCTCAGCAGGTTGGGGATGGTCCTGCCTTGAGCAGGGGGTTGGACTAGATGACCTCCTGAGGTCATTTCCAACCCTAATTTTCTATGATTCAGCCCCAGCTGCCACCCGCCTTCCTTCACCATGGCTGCCATCATTTCAATGTGCGCCTCCTGCCCCCAACCTGTGTCACTTATGCCCCTCCCCCCAACCTGACTCCCTGACTTATCTGCAGGAGCTACTGTATATCACTGCCTGGGGCTGTATTCCTGGACATGTGCTTGTGTGCACACACACACTCATGCATGTGGCGTCCCCTGCCTCTTGCTCTCTGCAGCCCCCTGCAGGCTGGAACTCTGCCAGCCTGTAAGGGGATACTCACGCTTTCCTACATTTTTCTCCTTTAAAGGAGAGAATCTGCATTTTTCCACAGCAAACTGAAAACCTGGATCACTGTTGATCACACTCACTTTATTTTTCATTTTTAAGTTGAGTACCTGTATCGAAAGAGAGAAATTTCTGCAAAATTGTGAAGTGCCCATTTAGAGATTTTTTTTGATCATTGCATTTTATTATTAGCACTGCATTTGATATTTCTGTCAACTCAGTCATCAAAACTTGCAGCTAGAGCTGGCAAAGAAATATTCTCCTGCTTAGGGGATCATGATAATCTCTTATTTAATTAATACTAAGCAAATGTCAAATCAGAAAGTGTGAGGTTAAATACTTGCTTTAATTCAGACTATAATTTAACCAAAAGAGATCCAGATATATGACAATTAAACTGTTCTGTGCTTGAAAGAGGTCTTGAGTGGGATGAATTAAGAGATGTGTTCATTGTTCTTGAGTAGTTGGGGGTGAATTATTAATGTGTAACTTTTGAATATAGACATTTCTGACAAGGGACATGACATGATTGGTTCAAGGACACTCCATTAGGGTCTCCCTTGTATAATTATTTTTTAGTAGCCTATTGCCTGTCATGAATGACGGATTTAAAATAATGAGGGAGAGTTTACATGGCTGCCTCCCCCGCCCCCAGTTCACCCTTCGGGGTCGGCCATGTAAACAGTCCTTGTGCCACTGTTGCCACCTCCTCCAGCCACCAGCTCAGGGGCTCCCTCCCCCCGCCCACCTCCACCTCCTCCCCTGAGCTGCAGGGCTTCCCCCCCAACCTCCCTGCCTCTTCTCCCCTCCCCTTCCCTGCTGGCTGTTGGGTGCGTGCGTACCTGCCTCCACCCCCATCCCTGTCCGCCTCTGCTTCCTCTTCGCCCAGGCCTATGCACCCAATTGCCACCTGCCCTCTCAGAGGCGGACGCACAGTTGACCAAAAGCGTTACGGACAGAAAGACACACAGATTAAGCCCTTTGTTATATTAATATTTTGATGAAAGTACATACATCTGGGTAAATGGGAGTGGGTGAGGAGGAATGTACAGGTGGTTGGGATATGGGATGTACGACCTGACAAAAGCACGTGGTCGTGTAATGGCAATAGCTGGAAAAAGCCATTATATTGGTAAGTAAGGAGCAGCAGGAGGCAACTGTTAGTTCCTCTGTGTATACAGGAGCTAGAGGAATCTCCTTAATAGGATCAGCAGAAGTGGTCATGATGGGAATAGGATTCTATAGTAAACATGTAGTAGGGAGTTGTATGAAGCATGTGAAATATGAGGACTTGGAGTCAATCCAGAAGGGGGAACATGAAATGGTAAGGGTCATAGAAGCTGACCCCAGTCAGGGGCAGTATGAAATGAACAGAGGCAATTGATAGCTAGTGATGAAAAGGCAATTCCCTTATGAATCCAAACTTAAACCTTAAATATCTCCCTTGCTGCTTCCTCTTGAACTTGTGCAGGCTTTAGAACAAAGCGAATCTACTCTTTGGAAAGCTTGCAGTGGAGCAAGCAGTCTTCAGATCCAGGAGGTACAGCAGGGGCTTTGTTCTGCTTAATGTTCACTTCTTATGTTAGATGTTACAGAAAAATGAAGAATAAGTAGGCCAAGAAATAATATATAAAATCCTTCCTAATGTTGGCTGTTACAGCAATAGTGGCTGTACTGCTTCCCTTCCACTGAAGTTTCTATAGCTTTTAAGAATGTCGGTCCTAGATTGGGGCATTGTTCATTCCTTGGCATAAAAGTTTCTACCTAAACATCCAAGCTACCTGTGCAAGGGTTGTGGGAAGGGAAAGGACTAAAATTAACACATTGGAAGACTGCTTGTGAGGAGATAGGGTTCTACACATGAGATTTTGGATTGGGACCATGGGAAGTTTGTTTTACCTGTTACCTTGTTTTGATTTCAAATTACCATTTGAAGATGATCTTGGAAAATTTGGTCCTTTTGTTCAAATTAATCCATCAACTTGGTGCTTTTTGTCATGAAATTGAGGATCATCAAAGCAGCTAGGTGTAAAGTTAAAAAGAAAAAACAACCTGTCATTTCTGTCTCCTGTAGTCATTAGAATAACTGCAATTTAGATTGATGCTTTCATGATACAGATCTGTATGATTCTACACTACTAGTTCTCAGATGCTGGCCT